CATTTTTTGTGCTTGCTTTACAGAGAGACGATAACAAACCAGTAAATGGCCCCAAAGCAGAGTCCACGGCATACATCCAATGTGGTCATGGGGAAGAAGGGCAGAGATTGGATTGGATCACACATGCCCTTGAAAATGTAGGGAAGAATACAAAAAGCAAGACGGGAATGGAGGTGGGGCAGTGATGCCAACCAAGAGAGCCCCGTTATCGAGTAAAAGCAAGGGAGACCTTGATGCAAATTTAACCCAGGTTGAACATTCCCAGCCCTCTGAGGAGGACAACCAGGAAACCAATCCTTCCCCGATGTTTGCACAAACAGTAACAAACGTCTTGAAAAATGTGCACTGTTTACCTGTAGACACAAACCTTCTGATCGACATAAAGTTGGTGTGTCTGGTGTGTGTGGCACCCTCGGTGCATCTGGCTCAGTCCGAGTCCTGTGGGAGTCCCAGATCCCAGGATGGGGACCTCAGTCCCCTGGGCGCACCTGAGATTGCTGTGGTGCTTAGGAGACGCTGCAGAGAGTGGCGTGTCAGAACATGCCATCGGGCATAGCGTGGGTAGAGCTAGAGCCTGAGTTTGTAGCTCAGTTCTGCAGGACTGGAGACACACCTTCTTCTGAGTGGTGTGAACCCTACATCACTGCGCTGCTGTCGCAGATGCCTAGCAAGAAGGCTCGAGAAAGCAAGAGAAGGAGCCGAGCCCAATGCGAGTTCCTACAGATGTAGAATACGAGTGCGTTCATCAACTCCTGAGGATTGCAGACAGACAAAATTTGCGGCAAAATTTCTGTATTTTATTTCCAGGCTCCTCAGTTTAGTAACCCGAGTTCTTCAAAAGCTTCTTCAGAAGGGACTCCGAGAAAGGAAGTTCTCCCGCTTGGTGAAAATGTCTGTTTTAGGAGTTGGGAGATGGCTTGAGTTTGAAACACATTCGTTTCTCTGCGGGGATGAGGCGAGAGGTGAAAGAACTGGTCCTGGACAACTGTCAGTCAATTGAAGGGAAAAAAAATCAAAGGCCTCACAGATGAGTTTGAAGAACTGGAATTCTGAGAGCTAAGTCCCTTAGCTCTCAGGAAAAGGATAATCAAGAGCAGCTTGCATGTAATCAAGTACAGTAAGATGCATGACATTTGGATGTCATCCAAACTTCAAAGATTTGGTCAGTCTGGTCCACATGATGTTCCTGTTTTGCTGGAAATATTCCTCCCTTTGAGGAGATATTAACACAGGTGGCTCATAGTAGAGACATATTAGGCTTGAAACACAATACCCTATTTCCTCTGATCAGATACAATTCAGAAGGTACTCTGAATCAGCAGAGGAGGAAGTGAAAGTTGAGCCACCCGAGTCTCTACCATCATGCCAGTTCAAGACAGAATCCAGCAGGCAGACATTTGCAGACATGGAAGATCGAGCTCAGGGAGAGTCCATGGTGAACATCAGGGAGAAAGCTCACCCTCTGCCACAGCCTTCCCCTCCATCTAACCAGTGCGCTCACATGCCTGGTGCTGAAAAAACACAGTTTTACCGAGGTGCTCAAGAGAGCCTGGTGCATCAGATACCGCCAACCTTGCCTGGTACCTCTCCTGACACACCCTTTCAGGAACTCTTGTCCATCCTCAGGAAAGAGAATGTGACAAATTCCAATGGGATTACAATTGGATTTGCAAAGTGGGGACTACAAACACCAAGTAATGGATCATTCGGGGACTGTATCAAACACAGTGCACACGCATATACCCTGATATCTTAAAACCTAACTGCTGATCTACATCTTTGAATTGCCCTTCCTGACAAGCATCTCACAAGAAATGAGAAGTTTTGGGGCTCTATTCTGCTCAGCTGTGATTTCACATTGTTCTGCACTTTCTGGTTTTTCTCTGATCTGAGGAAACCTGCAAATTTCTTATCTCCTGTGAGAGTGATTCCACTAAATCTTTCAAGCCTCTTGGCTTCTGCTGAATTTTACCACTAGGATTTGCCTCTCTGGGTTACCAGTTAAAATTGAGGGAGATGGACGGGCAGTGGTGGGGCACACCTTTAATCCCAGCACTTGGGAGGAAGAGGCAAGTGGATCTCCCGAGTATGAGACCCACCTGGTCTACAAGAGCTAGTTCCAGGACAGCCTCAAAGCCAGAGAAATCCAGTCTTGAAAACACTTAGAAAAAATGAAAAAAAAAAAAAAAAAAAAA